AAGGATTGAGGAAGAGTCCTACAAGCAGGATATGAAAGAAGATGTGATGGTCGTCACTGCTAAACGACCCACCCCTAGATCTCTTAAACCTAACCAGAAAGGGTTTAAGAGTAAGAACCAGCAGGTCCGCCCCCACCAGAATGGTGCCTCTCGAGGTAACCAAAGGGTCGTGACCCAAACCTCTAAGAATGACCCACTGTTTAGCTGCTATAACTGCGGCAAACCAGGTCATATGGCAAAAAAGTGCAGGAACAAGCAAAACCCTGCTGCTGCGGCCAGAGTTAACTTGACAAAAGAGTATTTGATAGCCATGATCATGGATATGATCGCTGAAGTCAACCTCACCGGTGACTCAGAAGGATGGTGGCTGGATACAGGTGCATCGAAGCATGTATGCAACAACCGTGCTAGGTTTAAAACATACACAGAAGCACCTGCTGACAATAAAGTGTTGTTGGGGACTACTCACACCACTATGGTTGCTGGTTCTGGTGAAGTGGAGCTGAACTTCACCTCTGGGAAGAAGATGGTGCTCAAGATGTATTGCACACTCCAGAGATAAGGAAGAATCTTGTTTTGGGATATCTTCTTAATAAGGCTGGGTTTAATAAATCTATTGGGGCAGACTTGTAGACCCTTACTAAGAATGGGAGTTTTGTGGGAAAGGGATATGCATGTAATGGGATGTTCAAGTTTAATGTCGAAATTAATAAGATGAATTCTTCTGTTTACATGGTGTGTGATTTGAATGTTTGGCATGCTCGTCTTTATCATGTGAACACACGAATTGTGAAGAATTTAAGCAAGTTAGGACATATCCCTAAACTCTCAATGAATGAATTTGATAAATGTGATTTCTGTAGCCAAGCTAAAATAACGAAAACGCCCCATAAATCTGTGAGTAGAGAATCAGAACCCTTAAATCTGATTCATTATGATATTTGTGAACTAGATGGGATGTTAACTAGGTCTGGCAAGAGATACTTTATCACTTTCATAGATGATTGCTCTGATTATTGCTTTGTTTATTTGATGAAAAACAAAAGTGAAGCCCTTGATATGTTCAAGGTATTTGTGGTTGAATTTAAAAATCAGTGCAATCGAAAGATAAAAAGACTTAAGAGTGATAGAGGATCAGAGTATGACTCTAATCCTTTCAAGGAATTCTATAGCTCACATGGTATCATTCATGAAACCACGACACCATATTCACCAGAAATGAAAGGTTTCGTGCTCGCCTAGTAGTTAAGGGCTACACGCTGAGACAGAATATAGATTTCTTCGATACCTATTCACCAGTATCAAGAATAACATCCATTTGTGTTATGATTGCTCTTGCTGCCTTGAAAAATCTCGTGGTACACCAAATGGATGTTAAGACCGCTTTTTTGAACGGTGATCTGGATGAAGAAATCTATATGGAACAATCGGAAGGGTTTGTTATCCCTGAACATGCCTCGAAAGTCTGTAAGTTAGACAAATCATTATATGGTTTGAAAAAGGCTCCAAAACAGTAGCATGAGAAGTTTGACACTCTAGTTCTCTCACATGGCTTTAAGGTGAATGAAAGTGACAAGTTTATTTACTGCAAGTCAGAGAATAACACTTGCACTATCATATGTTTGTATGTAGATGACATGTTGATATTTGGTACAAATATTCAAGTGGTCAATGAAGCAAAAGCCATGTTGAAAGAGAGCTTTGAGGAGAAAGATCTGGGAGAAGCGAAGTTTATGTTTGGAATCCAGATAACCAGAACAACAAATGGTTATTCTCTAGATCAATCTAGCTACATAGAGAAGATCTTGAAGAAATATAACTATTTCGACTGTAAACCTGCGTGTACTTCGTATGATGCTAGTGTAAAGCTATTTAAGAACACTAGAGACAGTGTAAGACAATCAAAATATGCTAGCATCGTTGGCAGTCTCCGTTATGCTGCGGATTACACTCGACCAGACATTGCATATGTCGTGGGATTGCTTGGCAGGTTCAACAGCTGTCCTAGTAGAGAGCATTGGAATGCTATAGAGAGGGTCATGAGATACCTCAAGAGAATAGCAAACCTTGGTATACACTATCAAAGGTTTCCTGCTGTACTATAAGGGTATAGTGATGCGGATTGGAATACCCAATCAGATGACTCCAAGGCAACCAGCATGTATGTTTTTAACATCGCTGGTGGAGCTGTTTCTTGGTAGTCAAAGAAACAAACAATCCTAGCTCAATCAACTATGAAATCGGAGATGATAGCACTAGCAACGGCTAGTGAAGAAGCAAGTTGATTGAGAGGATTGTTTTCAGAGATTCCCTTATGGGAAAGGTCGGTCCCTCCGGTATTGATTCATTCTGATAGTACCGCAGCTATCGCTAAAGTTGAGAACCGATTCTATGACGGAAAGAAACGACAGATTCGTCGTAAGCACAATACTGTAAGAGAACTCCTAACGATAGGAGCAGTGAGGGTGGATCATATAAGATCTGAACAGAATCTAGCTGATCCTTTGACGAAAGGATTACCTAGAGGGAAAGTCCAGAATACCGCCAAGGGTATGGGACTTATGCCTACCGAACCATCGACTACAAGTGATGGTAACCCGATCCAATAGACTGGAGATCCCAAGAAATGGGTTCAATGGGTAATAACAAGTCATGAGTAGTATGCGAAAAGTTCATGCATAGTGAAGCATGAATCCCAAAGCAATGGAGGTTGAGTTAATAACTCTTAATGAGATCTATACCTTATGTGGGGTGAGTACTTTACTTTGGGGGTACTCCTGATAGACTCACCTATGTGAATGTGGAAGTGGGGCCGCTCCCTATGGAACTTTGGAGGCACAAAGTTGCTAGAGCGTTCACTAAACCAAGATAACGTGCATGGCCATAAAACGTGCGTGGCCTTCCGTCATGCTCTTCCACCTCCTTTGTCCAGGCGCAAGGGCAAAGGTGAGGAGGGTGAGGGTTACCGTGCACCAGCGCCCCGCGTGCCAACCGTGACCACCAACGTATTTCCTGCGCGCAGGATGGAGAACCCGAGGCCCGTACCAAAGAGCGTGAGAAACTTCACGGAGCTCAACGACACGCTGAAGATCGTACTGCAATATGAGAAGGACAAAGGCTACCACTTGAGGTGGCCCGGTCCCATGAGGGGGCCCAAATGAGAAAAACCTCGATATGTATTGTGAATTCCATCGGGAGCGGGGATATCATACCGCAGACTGCTATCAACTGAAATCCGAGATCCAGGGATTAGTGGATAGATGTATGCTGAGCGAGTTTGTGAAGAAGGGGGACGACAAGGCACAGCGGACATTCATGGCACGAGAAGCGCAAGTGAAGGCGCCCGACGCCGAGCAAGAACCGGTGGACACCCGCCCTAAGGAAGAAGCCACCCTGCCGCCGCCCCCGTTCGACGTAGAACAAGAGGTCAATCCGACCCGCGTGAGGCTGACCATTGAAGCCATCACCGGCTCCGTAGACTTGAGGTGGAAGTTAGAGGAGAGGAGGCGATTGAAATCAGCCACTGCAAGCGCGAGAGAAGCCCTACAAATTCGCTTCAACGATGTGCCCGAAGAGGCGTGCCGGACGCCCTCCACGGAGGCACTAGAAATCCGGGGCGTGGTAGCCGGATGCGAAGTCAAGAGGATGCTGGTTGACACTGGAAGTTCGATGGACGTGTTGTTTTTGTCCACATTCGAAAAGATGCAACTGGCACCCAGCATGGTGAAGCCGGCGGACACAGTGCTGATTGGGTTCTCGGGGGCGCCGGCTCAAGTGCTCGGGCGCGTGCACCTCCCGGTAACGTTGGGCGACGAGACTCATTGCGTTACACACACGGTAGACTTTGGCATAGTCGACTGCCCCTCGCCGTACAATGCAATCTTAGGGCGCCCCTTGCTGGCTCTCTTCAACGGGGTGGGCTCGTATTTCCATCAGACACTAAAGTTTGTTACATTGGAGGGCATTGGGATATCAAGAGGCGAGGCATCCGCGGAGGCGCGACTCGCCAAAAGGAGCCGAATGTACAATATCGACGTGCACCCCGAGGACCTGTCAAGGGTCGAGGCGGAAGATGAGGAAATCCATGTGCCACTTGATGATCTGCGCCCTGACCGATGCGTTCTCATTTTGACACACGCGTCGGGCAAAAAATTGGGTCCACTGATCCATCTGTTGAAGAAATTTGCAGACTTGTTCGCATGGAGCGCAAAGGAGATGCCCAGAGTGAGGGCAGAAATTGCAGAGCATCGCCTCGCCATAGCGAAGGGCGTGCGTCCCATCCAACAGAAGAGGCGCCCAATCTCGTTGGAGAAAGAGGAAGCGCTGAGAAAGGAAGTGCAGAAGTTGCGAGAGGCAGGGTTCGTGGAGGAGGTCAAGTACACAACTTGGCTGTCCAACGTCGTGTTAGTGCCTAAGACGTCGGGGAGTGGAGGATGTGTGTAGATTACACTAGCCTTAATCGAGTCTGCCCCTCTGACGCCTACCCCATGCCAAGGATCAACCAGCTGGTGGATGCAACTGCGTACCACGAGGGGCTCAGCTTTTTGGATATGTTTTTGGGTTACCACCAGATACCCATGTGCGAGGAGGACAAGGATAAGACGACATTCATGACCCCATTCGGAACTACCGCTACAAAGTGATGTCATTTGGCCTGAAAAACGCAGGGGCCACATACCAACGCATGGTGAACAAGGTGTTTCAACATCAGATCGAGCGAAATGTGGAGGCGTACGTGGATGACTTGTTGGTCAAAAGCAAGCGTAGGGGAGATCATTTGCCAGACCTGCGTGAGACTTTCCAGGCGCTTCGTGCCCACAGCATCATGAAACTCTTGAGCAATCTTGGCGATCAACCGCGTCGTGGCCTCGCACAACAACATCATCTGAGGCGCAAAGATAATTGGATAATTAATAACAAAGGACATAACTAAATACAAGCAAGTGAAGAAATCAAGTGAGGTCTCATGCGCCTCATCACCCAAACGGTACCTGGACGCTCATGTTGGTCAATTTCAGCCAAGGCTTTGCGGAGATCAGGCCTTCTAGATGCTCAACTACATCGTAATGCGCCCTGGCCATCTGAACAGAGGCAGGGACCTCCTTGGCCGCCTTGACAGGGACGTCCACCGGCACCTTGACAAGAGGGCGCCTGGACTGAAAGTAGGGAGGAATCACCTGGCAAGTGTGCGGTCTTGGATTTCTTCCCCTGACCGCGCAAAGTACCACCTGCCCTCTTCCAAGATGCGGCGGAAGAAGGGGAAGGAGGAGTGCTCACCCCGGCAGTTTCCCGAGGCGTGGAGGTGGAGGATGGAGTCGAGGCAGATGAGGCGCGGCGCTCTGAGTGCGGCGAGCCATGTCATGCCGCCTCGCCTGCTGAACCGGCTGGTAAAGAGGAGGCGCTTGCGGTCGTTTCACACCGCACCCTGTTGGGTTGCACCCTCTTCGGCCGAGGCGCCTGGTCGGTAGGAGCGGGGCGGCCAGCATTCACGTTCCGGAGAAGGTCGAGCTTCAACCTTATTAGGTTGGTCACCGAGGTGAAATCGGTCCCTACAACATATAAAAGAACAAAAGCGCATGAGAACAACAAACCACAACATCAGTGAGACGCACAGGTAACAAAAAGGCGCATAGCTACCATCGCCATAGAATTCGGCGAGAACGCGAGCGTATTCTTCTCCTGACTCGAGGTCAATAAGCTGAGCGTATTTTGAGAGTTTGCCTGTGGAGCAATTATCTGGTTTGTGGCGTTTGAGATCAGTGGATATCAGTGATTGCACAAACTTGATTGGTTGGTCTGGTCTAAGAGAACTAGCGCCAGAAGTACACATACTGATGTGAAATTGGGGAGCTAGATTGTCTGTCAATTATTTTTGCAGTGGGTGAATTTCTTCTCAGGTGAATCTCTTTGGTGTGGGTATAGGCTGATGAGGATCTGGTGGAATGCGGAATGTCTTAGAATGTGATTAAGAGAGTAATTTGGTCATTCTCATCGTATGGTTGCAGAGGATTATTGGATTTTGTTAGAATGTGATTTATTAGGGGCAATAAATCACCTTAACAGATACGATTGAATATCAGTTTATGTAATCAAATTCAGAACTTTCTCAAAATAAAATTCTGCTTAATCTTTTTAATTTCTTCCTTCTTCTTCATCAAAAAACTTCTTCCTTCTTCTTCTTCTTTCTCAAGTATAGAACTTATAATCGGAGGAATCCGTGATAATGTTACGAAATCCACCAATTGTAGATGCCAGCATAACAAACACTCCAATCACGATCGAAACCTGCATTAAAGTTCCCAAAATCAATTCACAATAATATATCAACTAGACATTCATTTTTTGTGGTGTTTTTATGCTTACCCAATTGACAAACCACTTGGGGCTGAACCTTTTAGGCTTCTTGAGGATCAACCACATTATGCTTGGGAGCTGCAAAATATTAAACTCCAAATTGAAAAAAAATGGATGTAATTATATGTGATGAATATGTCAAATGGTTAGATTGTTTCATAAAATTGGAGAAATTTTTAAGGCTTACGAAGAATGAAGTTGGAGCAAAACCAAATCCACCGAAGAAGCCAAGCAGGTCGCCGAAGAAAGGGAATGTGACTCCAACAAATAGTGTAAACGCTGTCCATGCATCAAATAATCAATTCATGATAATTAAACTCCATTTAATTTATACTATATATTGGACCATTACTAACCAACATATGCAGATCGGACTACAAGTCTAAGAGGCAACCCCTGAGAGAAGTTCCATTTCTTCACCATCATCCTCTCCAGCATATTGAACACTGGCATAGCATATACCTACAACAAAGATGTTACGCTATTATTAGAAGTCTATGGCTGTAGAGACGGATAGTATTCGTTATTCAAAAGTACATTTTTGTTCACTAGATTAACAGAACTCGTACCTGATAGCTGCCAATAACATTAACGACAACCATAAGGTTGGCAGAGGCAATGAGCCAAGCAGGCCTCTGGAGGTCGAGCAGGACATTATCCTGCACAGCCTGCCCGAAGGCCCAGTAGCCCATCATCGCCACGGGGAAGTAGCAAAGGGCCTTCACGAAATAGGCCCAGATCACGCCCTTCCACATGGGCCCCTTGGAAGGCCTTTCTGGTGTTGAAGGGATGGTGGCCTGGATCTCTAACAAAACCGCATGGCCCGCAAATGCGAACGAGCTCTGGCCCAGAGCGTTGAACACTCTGAACATCGAGCCCGCTGGGCTGCTCTGCTTGTAGCCGTAGGTCACGTCCGCTGCCCTCCCGTGGCTCAGGCACCCCACCCACGCTATGGTTGAGTAGCTGCGCATCGTATCAATGTAATCAAAAGCGCATTTCTACGATAAAAGCTGTAAGTCTACGTAAAAGTGTTTTGATGACGTAAAAGCGTAAAACCACAGTCTCGGAATAGTATATATATATGAAGAGACAATGTAAAACATACGAAATGGACATAACTGCAGCGGCCAGAGAGACGCCAGCAACAGAGTTGAAGTTAGGCAGCTGAGCCAGGAAGAAGTGAATCCCTCCAAACATGACCATCCAGTAGGACAGCTTGATTGGTTTGCAACTGGAGCAAGCAATCTCCATGAACTTCTTCAGACACTTGCCACCAGTCACCATGTACACGATGTCGCAGCCAACCTGAACAATCAGCTGCTGAGGCAGGACAATCCATGGCCCTAGCTTCTCGCCAAAGGCATGCCTGCCGAGGTCTATGTACCGATCGAATCGAGTCCCCGGCACGCATTCGTGGAGCTGGATCATCTGCCACATTGTGTTCAACGTCAGGCACCATGATGCCACTAGCACCATCGTCCCTGGTCCCCTGCCACACATCAATTGGTCATTCGTACTCTGTTACTAATGTTCGAAACTCTGTCATTAAAAAGTAGTTATCATAAATAATTAAATATAGTCGAAGATATGTTGTTTACCAGCCCAAGTAAGCCATGGCGGAAGGGAGGCTGAGCACTCCAGCACCAATTATGGCGGTGACAACATGGAAGGCTGAGTACCACCATTTGGCTCGCCGGTCGGGATCGCCTCCTCCGCCGCCCTCTTTCCATGTCTCCGGCTGATTCTCCTGCTGCTGCTAATAGTGTTGTGTTGGAGAGATATAATCACTTCAAGGTAATTGAAGAGACTACAAAGATAAATGTCAATTGATTAGCTATAAGAAGCTGGAGTACCTTAGAGGGAAGAGAATCTGAAGAGACCATGTTTTTAGGTTGATGAGAGTGGCAGTGGAGTAGCCAGAGGTAGCCCTTTCTAGCTAGCTCTCTCTGTGCCCTTGGGAGTTTTAGTAGTGAGGAGGTTGTTGAGTGATCACTTTCACAACACAAACTCTTGTGTTTATAATCTGGAGTGGAGTGGAGTGGAAAGCTAGGGAGGGAAAGGTAATTAAGAAAATGATGCTATCTTTACCCTTTTCATTTACTTTTTTCTCAAACGGATTCCTATGTGTAATCGCAAGAATGACCTTATATCGTTAGGTTATATCATCTGATTGTGAGACTCAGCATCCAATAATTTTCCTTTTAAAAAAACGAAACATCATCTAGTGGCGAACCAAGAAATTTGAATGAGGAGGAGCTGAATAGAATTATTGTAATTGGGAGAGAGGGGCTAAAGTTTTACCGACTATTCTAGTTACTAAATTTGTGCAAATTTTGCATGTAATTTTATCTATATTTCAAAATAAATGTGGGCTGGGCTACCGCTCCTGAAAGTTTCAACCTAGCTTCACCACTGCGGACATCTTTACACCAACCCACTTAAATACTATGGTCGAATTAATTTTCATTTGGTTGGACAATGATGCTAATTTCTGGAAGTTTTACACTTTTACTATATCTAGACAAGTTTCCATTGGAGAGTTGAGTGAGTGGGGTGGTGTGTAACTATTAGAAGTGGGAGGAGGGGACACCTTGTAAGTGAAACTGTGGAAGTGATCTTAACTATTTACTTGAGCAACCTCAATGTGGTCGAGAAACAAAGGAGATTGAAATGGAGATGGGTTCAAGACTCTTGAAATGATGGAAAACAAAGAAACAGCATAAGATAAACAAAAAAAATGGGCCAATCTCTAAAACCAAACCTAGCACCTAGCACAAAAATGGTACGAAGAAGTTGTTACTCTTCTAGTTATTTTACTTGCAATCTAATAGGAGAAACATTCGAAAGTACTCATCAAAGAATATGTTCGAAAGTGATGGGTAAAGGTGAAGAGTCATTTCACAAATTGGAATGTGTATAGCTAATCACCATATTGAGATCGTGACAACTACTACACATATACGTTTAACTCTTGTGGTGGTAATTTAGAGATTCATTTTCTTTGGTCGACAAACCAACATAGAGCATGTTCACTATGAAATCAACTATGTGGTGGATTAATTATATTAGGAATTTCCTAATCGTGGGTGGAGCCCTGTTACATACTGATTGTGCTTTGATCAATTTGTGGTGTAAACTACAAATATCAAATCAGTTTAGGGCTCGTTTGCTTGTTGGATTTGAAAATGAGAATTTTGAGTTTTAAAACACTTTGAATTTATAATGGATTTGTTGCATTATGAATTTGAAAATGATAAATAAGTCAATAAAAGACAAGAAACTTTTAAACGTTTTATTTTAAAATGTTAGGAGGAGAGTAAAATAAAGAAAACGTTAATACTTGTTTGGTTAGTTGGTTAAGGTGAATTGTTGTTTAGGTGAGTTGTTTGAATAAGGGACTATATACTCAAAGTTTGTGCATAACAATCTCTCTGGTGAGAAATTGTAAATTCTCTCATTGATAAAAGAAAACTGGATAGGATGTAATAAATTTTAAGTTTTTGGACCTTTCAAATCTCTCACTACAACAAACTTCTAGATAGGATTCTTATAAATCTCTCACTTTATCTCTCTATTTAACAACCCAAAAATCATTTGTACACAAATTATATTTCGAGATCATTTGTACTTAGAATCCCAATTGTTTTAACTTTAACATTCTCGCGTTCCAATCATATACTTGATAATTTGAATAAAAAATCAAACTAATTATTATTCATTTTGGGTTCACTGCACAACGAGTGAACTAGTTAGGGTTGTGTGGGTTATTCGGACGATTGAATGAATTCTTTGTTAATATTTTTAATGGCGCATTATGTTAACTGGACAAAAGTCACGGATCTTTTAACGGGAATAAGATAGATTAACCTTTTTGTTATGTACCCAAACTTGTTTCACCAAAACGTGCTAAATTGAAAATTTGAGACGGTTTTGTACAAACTGAATAGTTATGTTACCATTTATAATAATTAACCCTAATGGGTAAACCCGAATAAAGTAGGTGTAGACAAGTTATCATAGTGATTAGACCTTCGTTTCCTGCTGATGCAATATTCTTCAGGCAAGTAATCTACCCAATCACTGTTCATATTTATGGCAAAGGTAATTCTTAAAGCCGCCACACAATCCAAAAGCACCCGTTGCGAAAGTGGCTCACTTAAATTCCCCAACATCAAGATCAATAAGCCAAATGATAAGAGAATCAGGATGGTGCCACTTTTCAAATCATAGTGACCACCAGGAGTGCAATCTGCATTCTGGGAGATTAACCAGTAGCTGGCAAGCTTAATTACTACTATATGTTCCTTCCACAAACTCCTTAAGGCAGATTTTTCATTTCAAGAAAGATCAGGAGCATGTCATATAACATGTTTGCTCACTACATCCTCGCAAGCATAATTAGATGAAATCCAGACTCATTACATGAAACCTGGTTTATGATGCCATTACCTAAACTAACTCATGAAGCCAGTTCCAGGGATGTTGGGGGGGCCTTGAGAAGTCAATTGCGCTTGAGAGACTAACTGGGACCTTCCACCTGGACCTTGACCATAGCCTTGACCCATACCACTCCCAACCATCTGTTGCTGCTGCTGCTGCTGCTGCTGCTGTTGATGCTGCTGCAATTGCGAAAGCTGTTGTTGTTGGTGTTGCTGCTGTTGCTGCTGCTGTTGTTGCTGCTGCATTTGCTGCTGCTGTTGCATTTGCGGGATCTGCTGCTGCTGATCTTGTCGGAGCTGGGAGAGCTGCTGCTGCTGGTGTTGTTGGAGCTGAGCCAGCTGCTGCTGCTGCTGCTGGGGTTGCAGCTGGGAGAGCTGCTGCTGTTGATGTTGAAGCTGTTGAAGCTGATGTTGTTGTTGCATCTGCTGCTGTTGTTGTAGTTGTACATGTTGTTGCTGTGATTGCATTTGCTGCTGCTGTGGGTGCTGTTGCTGTTGTTGCGGCTGATTCGGTATCTGGGGTTTAAACACAACCATGTCCTGGTTGCAAAATATATTCATATTTGTGAGAGTTGGAAAAAAAATGAAATGCTCAAATGTAATTCAGAATGAACAGCTGCGACAAGTGCTATAAAGGACACTAAAAGTCTAAAGTGCAAAATGCATCAGAAATTACGGTACCAGATGAATGGAAGATATTCTTACCCCAGGAAAAAGCATCCCAATCAAGCGGCAGGCTTTATCAGAGACAGAGAGTAACAGTGTCTGAGATGGCAATTGTATAACTGCACACTGGAAGGAATATGGCAGAAAGGCAAAACAAGCAACGTAAGGTAGGTAGTCCATAGATTAAGATTCAGATTAGCATCCATACAGGAAAACCTGACCAAATCTAGAACAGACTCAGCAGAACTCGAAAAATTCTGATTGCAGAGAAGACTGATGGTTAATTTAACCCCCCACCAAATGGATGAGTGATTGATCCAACAGGTGTTATCCTAACATATCTGCTACTCTTAATTAGTTCCATAAGATGTATTGAAATTGTCCATTGAGTGACTGTTCAGACCCACATTGAAGTTTTAGCTACTCACAAGTCACAACAGTTCCAGGCACACACCAACTAAGCCAATATTATCTTATGGATAACATACAAAATAGCAACTCACAAGCTTCTTCTCTTGCAGTTGTCCGAGAAATCCATGCTGATTCATTGCCCGAAAAACTAGAAAATCAGCCTTCCCAACGTATTGTCTGGAAGTAACCACCATTGGTATGATTAGAAACATAGATATATACTTGTTTACCCAGGAGGAAGAAACAGAAGGTCCAGTTAAATATGTAAGACAGAAGCAGAAATGAACATTAGTTTGAAAAGGGATGTACTTGTTATTCATATGGTCCTGAGATATCAGCCGAACAATTTGCATTGTTGATGGCCAGTTTGCTGCAAGCCTGAAAATTGGGAACAAAAGAGAATCAACAACTCCCGTTCTCCCTCGTTCATGTTGATATATGCTACAAAGAACCTATGGAACTTGATTTGGTATCTGACAATCAGAAAGAATATGATTCCATGATAAATAATATCGGAGTAGATATGTCAATTCAAACTTTACCCTACAAATTCCCAGTATGGATCCTCAACCGCACTGTTTTCTAAAGGGGTGACAATGAGGAAAGAGCTCTAAGGCATCAGCTTAAGCACATAATTTCAAAGTCAAACAATATTGACTACAGTCATGTCATGTAGAGCTGCTAAAATATCTGACTGTGGCATTCAAATGACACATCAGGCTTGAGGATGGCAGGAATGCTCGCCCAATCAAGGTTACCTGGCAGAAACCTACTATCAAGTCCCTCAATTAAAGACATGTTACATATCGATGTTTCCGTTGACATCAGACTCTAAAATGAATAACTATCAGGATGGGGGTTATTTTTTTTTTTTTTTTGTAGAAATATGGAAGGAAGTTTCTGAACTTACGTCTCAGGAGACGAAGAACTCCTATAGCCCTGCAGAAGGCCAAAAAGCACATTACAAAATGTTAAAATGGCAGCTTACTCGTAAAAGGAACTAAACTAGAAGAAACATAAGTTTGTGAAAATGTTAAAAAATACCTCCAATTTCGTGATGAAGACAGGCTGCCCCTGCCGCTGCCCAGATAGATTCCCCTGTACAGCATTGACAAGGATTCAGCATTTTGTGCATAGATAATATGCACACCAAAGGCAAACTGCTAGTGAGATGTCCAGGAATTTTCAGAAGTCGCAACAACTTGTTGCTGGAAACCAAGTAGTCGGCTGGCAAAAAATATATGACTAAGTACAATAATGTATTCTTAACAGAGCCAGACAAAAACTAGACTAATCAGTTGCAGTGTCAACCTGGTTGATCAAGTTTCTAGTCTTACTCGGGTTCCCTGTTAATTTCATCAAACAAAAAACATAGTTGGCAAGCACACATTCTAATGGCAGTGATTTTCTTGACTGAAAAGAGACTGATCAAACGTATAGACATCTAGCTTAGGACCATCCAGGGGACAT